ATATATATATATATATATATATATATATATACAGAGAGAGAGAGAAAGAAAGAAAGAAGTAAGAGTGTTAATATAACTGAAATATAAAACACATTTTAATTTATTAAAATGTAACTGAAAATTACAAAGAACTTCAAAATACTTTGAAGACTTTCTAAAAGTTAAAATAAATACACTATCCTACCATTGAGAATACTCACCTTACTCATTCCTATAGGAGTTTTCTTTTATTTCATCATGGAACAAGGGTCATACAAGTCATTCACAAAGAATGACAACAATCTTTAGGCATCTTATTTCAATTGTGTTTCTTAACTTTGTTATCAAAGGTATAATTTATTTCATTTAACATTTCATCGTATGTTTTTGTTTCTTTTATTATCAGTAAAATAAAATAGAGGGTGATTAGAAATTGGAAATTGTCACCCCAAAATTCCTAACTTTGTTTGTGTTCCGACCTCAAATCCGTTAAAATAATACTATGTTCAATCACAACATTTCAGATATTCTTTTGCTTTTGAAACTTGAAACTTTTGTTACAATTTTATTTATAAAAGGTGTTTCGAAGGATAAAATAATATATATATTTATCTGGTACGTGATTTAAGATTTATATATATATTAGAACACTTGGAAATTCATACCACCTTAAATAAAAGACAAAAATCAATAGAGATTTAGTTTTAAATGTCATGAACTTCTATGTTTTTTATATCACCATGATTTTCTCCTTCTGCATGTGTTTGATCCTTAAATAAGGTTGTCATGCCGAGCATTTCAGACAACGAAAAGTGTTAGCCCATCAATTTTTTCCATTCAAGGGGACACTTGCCTCCTTATCAATGTCAATCCTTTGAAGAGTTTTGCTAGTTTTAAAAATAATAAACGTAGTATTACTAATAGTTGTAAGATATTTTGCTTTTCACATCCTTTCAACTAGATAGTTTTAAAATGATCCTTCACTTCTTTATATTATTAATAATGTCGATAATTTTATCAATTTAGTAATTCTTTTATATCACTATGGAATAATTTTTTAATTAAATAGAAAAAGAATTGTTTATCTAAGTGTGAAATAAGAGAATGGTTACGGTGGTTGAGAGAGGTAAAAGAAATTTCTTGAATATTTACAACATGGCTTTATAATGAGTAAAAAAAAATACTTATATACCATGGTAATTTAACAGAATGAGTAAAATAATAGAATTACATCTTAAACACTTAAATACGCAAATACCATCATAAAGTAAGAAATTCTTACTAACTAAATATTAATTACAAAAGAATAAAATATCTTATCGTATTTATTTTTGGTCTTAGAATATAAAACAAAGATGTCCAGAAATGTTTCGGTGGAAAATACAATTGTGCAGAGAATGGAAGGAAAAATAATGCAAGTGTGTGAGAAAAGAATACAAACACGTAAAAATAAAATTAAAAGAAAGCTACAATTTTCCTTAACCAAAAACAAGGATTAATTGTACTATAAAAATATATATTGAAGTTAGTTTTCTGTTAGGGTTGTTAGACTTTTAATGTCTTTTCCGTCTCCTTTCCTAACCTTTAAAAGGTTAGGTTTTCCCCTCATAGATATATATAGAACACACAGAACACAGTACTGTAATTTTACCATTTTCATAGATATTAAAGTTGAAGCTTTTCTTACCTTTTTCTCTATTCCGATCTACTTTTTCTCTTACTGCATCTGCAACGGAGGTCTTCTTGTGTGCCTTCTATAGCTTCTTCTCTGTTACGACTGTTATGCTCCTTTCTCTATTCACCATCAAGATTCACCAAGGCTGGATGCTACTGGAAGAGATATTTTATCTCCATGGCTTTTTCAGCATTTGGGTTTTGGTTTGAAAAGGCTTTTTGGGCCTTTCTTCGTGACTAAAGATTTGGGCCTCATTTACAATAATATATATTGTGTTGAATGTATATTCTGACTGAATAAAATACCAGAACACTATATTACTAACTTACAAAATAAATTCTTAACTAAATGATTACACTTCATTGAAAGAATAAAAATATCTATAATAATATTTTGAGATCTCATACAATTAAATCCTTCTAAACAATTTCTATAAAATCCACTGTGTAAAATGTCTTTCATTACTAATTCTCATTTATTCATCAAAGAGGATATTGATAAAAGAATTTCAAATTATTATTCAACCCTCTTGCCCCCTAATCTTCTAAGAACTTATTGATGGCCCATAATAATAAGAACTTATGGTCACCTTTTACATATGATTCAAACTCTTCTTGAGTATGCTTGGTCATGGCTAGGAGATATTTCATACATATTTAAATTACAAGAAAAAAATGTATTTATAGGTTTTTGCTAAGGATTAGTTATGGGTCGACATCCAAAAATGGACTTAACGACGTAATATTTATGGGCCTAATTATAAAGAAGGTCGGAGAAACAACAAAAGATGATTAGGCCTTGTTCACTTAAATGGATTTGGAGGAAAGTGGCTGAGGAAATTTGAGAGGATTTGTAGGTAAATTTTTTTGTTGTTTATTTGAGTGGATTGGAGGTGAGAGTGGATTTGTAGAATTTTATTGACATGACTGATTAAAAAAATTTACTTCCAAATCCACTCTCATTTACTTTCAAATAAATAACAAAAAAATTTATCTTCAAATCCTCTCAAATTCCTTTAAATCTTCTCAATCACTCTCTCCCAAATCCATTCAAAGTGAACAAGGCCTAAAAGATCATTATATCTATGGGTCAATGAGCCAAGATAAGAATTGTTGACTTTTGGGAAAGTTTTATTTTGTTATTATTTCCCGATTTTTGGGATTATTCTTGTAAAAAAAATTATCTTTGTAATCTTTTGTTAAGATCTTTGTAATCTTTAATATCTTTGTAAAACATTTTGTAACCAATTTACCTATAAATAAAATACTAACTCCTTTAGCCGAGAAACAAAATTAATTTTGACCTAAAAGTAGTCATGAACTTTGAGTCAAAGAGGATTTGATCAGTCTTTTGTTTCTGTTTAAGGCCTACGACTTTTTATTGGAACAATTATCACAGATAATAATCTATTATTCTGACCTAGTTTTGAAATTGGCTTTTTTTAAATGGTCAAAGCGTCGAGTTTCTCTATAAATTAAGTAGATGTTTTCAAATATATAAAAGTAAGAGTGTGAATATAACTGAAATATAAAGCACATTTTAATCTATTAAAATGTAACTGAAAATTACAAAGAACTTCAAAATACATTTCAAGACTATCTAAAAGATCCTATAAATACACTATGCTACCATTGAGAATACTAACTCATTTCTCCTTGCTCACTCCTATAGGAATTTTCTTTTATTTCATCAGGAACAACAGTCATACAAGTCACTCACAAAAAATGACAACAACCTTTAGGCATCTTTTTTCAATTCTCTTTCTTAGCTTTGTTATCAAAGGTATATTTTATTTCATTTAACATTCCATCATTTTTTTTTTTGTCTCTTTTATTATCGGCAAAATAAAGAGCGATTGGAAATTGTCATTGTCACCCCAAAACTCCAAACTTGGTTTGTTTTTTTTATCTCAAATCCGTTAAGATAATATTATGTTCAATCACGACATTGTAAGTATTGTTTGTTTTAACATTTGAAACTTTTGTTACAATTTTTTTTTTTTGTAAAAATTGTTTTAAAAAATTAAAGAAGAAATATATATATATATAGGTTTAATCCTTTACTACATCCCTATTTATGTACGAATTTCTCAATTGGGTCATCGTTTTTTAAAGTGTATCAAAATGGTCCCTAATTTTGAAAATTGATATCAATTGAGTCCTTTCCGTTAAGTTGGCTGGACGGCGTTAAAAAAATTGATGAGTGGGATGCTGAGATGACGAACGAGCGCTCGTCCACCAGCGAACGAGCGCTCGTCCACCAGCGAACGAACGCTCGTCCATCAGCGAACGAACGCTCGTCGACCACCGAACGAACGGTCGTCCAGTGTGGAACGAACGGTTGTGGTCGACGAGCGTTCGTTCTCTGGTGGACGAGCGTTCGTTCTCTGGTGGACGAGCGTTCGTTCTCTGGTGGACGAGCGTTCGTTCTCTGGTGGACGAGCGTTCGTTCTCTGGTGGACGAGCGTTCGTTCGTCATCTCAGCATCCACTCATGAATTTTTTTAACGCCGTCCAACCAACTTAACGGAAAGGACTCAATTGATATGAATTTTCAAAATTAAGGACCATTTTGATACATTTTAAAAAACAAGGACCCAATTGAGACATTCGTACATAAATAGGGATGTACTAAAGGATTAAACCTATATATATATATATATATATATATTAGCACATTTTGAAATTCATACATATTGACATCTTAAATAAAAGACAAAATCAACAGAGATTTAGTTTTAAATGTCATAAACTTTTATGTTTTTATATGACCATGATTTTCTCCTTTTGCATGTTCGACCGTATCATTTTTCAGGGTCTAGTAATTGTGACTTGAACAACATGAACATTGGGACAAGAAGAAGTGGAAGAATAATAGCTGGGAAGCCTGAGTGGAATGTAGTTGTGACAAATAACTGTAATTGCACACAAACCCAAATAAGGTTGTCATGCCGAGGATTTCAGACAACGAAAAGTGTTAGTCCATCAATTATTTCAATTCAAGGGGACACTTGCCTCCTTATTAATGGCAATCCTTTGAAGGGTTTTGCTAGTGTTAGCTTCTCCTATGCTTGGGATCCTCCTACTATATTCATGCCTATATCCTCTCATACTACTTGCTGATATAGGTTTTCCAAAATAAGAGAAATGATTAATAATAATATATAGTAGTAGTAGGTAATAATTGTAGGGTATTTTGCCCTTCAACTTGTTCTTTTGGAAGTCATGATTGTATTTTTGAAAGTCTAGATAATGATAAGATGATCCCTCACTTCTTCAAGAATCATGCAAATAATTTCATAAGTTCAGAAAATTGTTTATATTGCTAATGGATATATTTCTAAAATTAAAACGATAGTTACTATTTTATGAAAATTTTAAGAAATTAACCACTATGACAAATAACCAAAATACACTAATACATTCTAAAATACAATCATTTTATTTTCAATTCATAAAACTTATGTAGAAATTATGTAATTGGTGTTTTGATACTTTTAATGACATATTATTAAATTGGACTGTTTTACTTTTTTTTTCAAGCTTTTGTAATTGATTCTGTTTATTTTGTCATTATAAAATTATGTAAAAAAAATGAAATACTAAATAAAAATACTTATATATTTGAAAAAATAAGAGGGCCAGATTTAAAGCATAAATATCAGAACTTTATTTAATAAAAAATAATAAAATAAATATTTTTAATGAAACGTTAAGTTAAATCTAACTAGTAGTTTAATAAACAGAAAACATTTATTGGCTTTGACTTTGGGTACCGACATTTTTCTTTAGAAGTTAGCTCCAACGTTTATACATGTTTGAACATTTACGGCATAGATATTTTTATAAATAAAAATAAAATATTGTTTCTATAAATTGAAATTAGCTTATACATTGATTAATTTATAAAGAGTAATCTCTTATAAAATTTCTATACTTTTGTCTCTATTTTATATATAATTTAATTTTAATTTATAAAAAAATTCTCTATAAAAGTGATTTCAGATAAAATTATTTTGATATTTCTATAAAATTATTTTGATATTCTTATAACTATAAAATTAAATATAAAGAAATTTTATTGTAAATATTTTTTATTTATTTTATAAGTAGTTTTACAATTAAAATTGGTTAAGTTTAAAACACAATAAAATTGTAAAAATAGATTAAATTTAAGTAAAATGTTACTTAAAAAATAAAATTGATAAAATAATTATTTTTAATTTTAAAAAAAATTATTTAAAGAGTAAAATTAAAAAATAAATATGAAAAAAAAGATAAAATTTCCTTTATAATAGATTAGTGTGGTTTTTCTTACTTCAAATATAATCTAAAATATATTAATAGAGTCTAAGTTGCCGTGTTAAACATATTGATCTACATAAATTCTAAAAAGTTTATCTTTAAAATAGAAGAATAAAAATTATTTTATTTTTTATATATTTAATAGAACATGACGTAATGAAAATTAAAACTCCATGTTATGTAATGCACCACATATATTAAATAAAAAATATCACACGAATTCATTATTCAATTTTCAAAAGCTTAAATTATTTATAAATATTTTAACATGAATCTTATTAATCAAATTCCGAGTTTATATACTACAAAATTTTAGATTTTTATCGGGATTATTTTTTTTGTTTTTGACGGTTTTAATTCTCGAAAAGTACATTATCCGTGGTTAGGAAAATTATTGGGAAAAGCTGCGTCATTAAGTAATTACTAGCGGCTTTTTGAGAAATCGTCGCAATTTCTAGGAGTTCTGAAAAAATCGTTAGAATTAGCGGGAGTTTTGCTAGAACCACCGATATTAGCGGGAGTTTTACTAGAACTACCGGAATTAGAGGGGGTTTTGCTAAAACCATTGGAATTAGCGGAAGTTTTACTGAAACCACCGAAAATGTGTATAGATTTTTTTTTATTGTAATAAAATTAGTTTTATTAAGCAAACAGACAATGAAATGATATGAATTAAAACTATATATTATATATAAAATAAACTGTATTTTTCAACATATTAATATGTTCATACAACTAATTGTTCATATATTAAAAAAAATGTCAAATACTAAATTAACATACTAAAAATATGATTAATATGTTCATTACATTACTAAAAAAGAAACAAAGTCTAATTTTGTTTCAGCTTCGTTGGCTGCCCATGAAAATCAAATTTTGCAACTTTTCCTTGTACATCTTTTGGTATAGCAAATCCCTGAAATCAAAGAAAACATGCAAGAAGATTAAACTGTTGCATGCTTTGTGACAACAACAGTGTCACCAAGTTAAAGTCTACAACTTGAAACTATTGGAATGACTAATATTAGAAAAAATGATTAATGTCTTTCATTCTTATTATCATACCCTATCTGAAATCTTGGTACAATGGTCATAGGAACTAAGAACTATAATAAAGAAATAACAGTATTTGGGAAACAGGACTCACTTCACCTCAGTTAATATCAAACATTTTAGATCCAAGTTTCAAGAAAGAAAACGATAATTTCTTTCTCTTAACGTCGTCATTTCTTTTGTGCACTGGTGGGCTATTTAAAGTATAAATAAACTTAATTCTAAAGAACAATTTATCAGAATGAATCACATCTATATTGGAAGGACTATATTATAATCAAAACACATTAACCAAAAATAAACCAAGAGCGTTGGGCACTAGCGGAAATATGAAAATTGTTTTTTCTATCTAACATGCATTCTTAAATTGATCAAAACTAAGGCTCTAAATATCACATGATATGGATCAATATGCCTAGATAAAAATAAAAATAAGAACTAAACAAGAACAATTAAGAAATGGAACTAAAAGACTAAAAATGTGAGAGAAAAGAAAGGAAACATATGAGAAAGGCATGCCACTTGAAAGAATCCAAGATAAATGCCAAGGAGATCAACACTTGTTCTTCATAAGATAAGACCTAAATTTAGACTAAGAGATAGAATTATATCATAAAGAAGTAATGTAATTGAATGCAAAACACTCTTTATATTAAAATTTGAAGGTGCATGTACAAAGGAGACCTTAGGTTGTTTATATAGCACTAGGAGATGAAGTAGGTGGAGAAAAGTAAAGGATGTGGGACTTGGAGGCCTACAAGTCTGGGCAACAGCTCTCAAGGTTGTTTTAAGTCCCACATCTCTTAATTCTACAACCTCATAAGGGTATATAAGCTACCTAACTAGTCCAAAAATTTAAACTAAAATTATACATGAGTAACTTGCATTACAAGCAACTTAAAGGAGAAGGGACTTATTTATTCTTTTTTATTTTAAGTCCAAACTATGTGAAGTTTCACATTACTTAAACCTTAAAGAAAAGAAAAATATACAAACTTCTCTACAACCAAACTAATAAAAAGAAACAAGAAAGAAAACATACATGCCTATGAAAACTTATGCTACTAAACGCCAAAATACAAGCCATAAAACCTTTTTTACTCTTTTTATTTCTTTATGTTTTCTTTTGACCCTTTTATGATCATATCATGTCCTGCACTAGATCAATTATAATATCTTCATGTACTCACACCATTAAGGTGATCATTGAAAACAAAAAGGAATACATAAAGAGACAAATAAAAAGGAAAGGGTAAGCTAATATACCAAAAACAATCATATATCACTTTTTATAAAAGTAAGCATATAACATAGATAAATCAATCAATCCTAAGACAAATTATCGTTTATAGACTTGACTATCCAGATACATGTATTGATGTCAAACTCTTAGGAAACCTCCACCCTTGTGATGAAACAACTCGCCCCCATCAAACTACCACACATCGAGGTTGATCTGTCAAACATATATGGCCAAGAAACAACCACTAGACTAAGGACCTTCTGCTACTCTTTAAGACATACCACATCTTGACTACTTGAGACTAGATGGTTATTAAGAGTGTTAGGATCATCCCCCATTTCAGTGCATCCTACATCAATTCATTACACTACTGAACACCATCATAGAATCTATCCACTAGATTCATGGACTTACATCCACCACATATTTCATGCACATAACTGATAACACTCATCATAACCACCCATATCATGTATGAAATAAATGCCAAACATACTTACATTCATCACAATCTTATACTTGAATAAACACCATATAGGTTCGCAATCATGTTACCAAGCATGGTTTCATCATTCACATAATCATATATATTAAGCGCATCATAAGAGGTATAGGTTAACTTACTTAAAATTCTGATATTTTTGCTCAGCCACCAGATTTATTTGCTTAGCTAGTAGTATTTGACAATACACTCGTTCAACCACCAGATATGCTTGCTCAACTAATGCACTCTCGCTCAAGCACCAAATATACTCGCTCAGCTAAAAGTGCTTCACAGCACACTCGCTTAATGACCAAATCTACTCACTTAGTGAGAAAACCCACTAGAACTTACAAACTTAAATTCTCCCAAAAGTTTCACAACGTATATTCTTGCCCAACGACCATTAAGTTAGTGAGCTCTTTGATTTTGGTCTTGCAGTGAGATTTTGCTCGCCTAACGACCACCAAGTCAGTAGCTTTCTAACTTTGACTTTGCCCAATGAGTATACTCGTCCAGCGAGTCTGCATAATTATGTAAAATAAAATTTTGCATATTTATGTCATTCCAACCTTGCAAAACAGACTAACACTAATCACATATGCCTAAAACAACCAATCATCATATTAAACATGAATCAATGACTCGATTCACCTTAGATGTAATCTTAATCACACACTATACTAAAATTTCAACAATTAATCATTAAAAATGATTCAAAGCCCCTAACTCAACTCAACAAGTCAAAATTTATCAAACAACTAAATTTCACAAAATAACTATTGTACAAGCCTATAATCAGCGATTATGATTTGCTTATCACTTAAAATCAAAGTAATAAGATCAAATTGCACTCAAGACCTATTCAAATGACTAAATTGGTATTCTTGACACTGTGATTGATTCAAAACATGTTTATTCATCATATTGAATACTATTTTTCTTAATTTGGCTAATGACTCAGTCCATCAGATCAAACCAATTTCAACCAAAGTTCAAAGAAAAATTCAACATACCAAGTGACCAAAATTCAACAACACA